TCAGTTTAGTGTTTTTGGTGATTTTTCGTGAATGATGGTTTCTGGCTTAGATCATGTCAGTCCCAAGAAAGACGAAAGCTAAGCACGGAGTCATCGGGGTCGTAAGACGGTGAGCCGAGGTCTTCTTCGCACAATTCGACAGACAAAAGTCCAAGGCAACCCTTCTGCGATATCCGGTAAGGTCAATCTTCGAATCCTTTCGACCCACCTTCTTAAACGAAATGTAAGATGTGACAGCATCACTCTATTTTTCTTTTCATATGCAGGTCTTCGAGTAGACTAATTCAAAATATAAAATATTATTTCAACTATAACTAAGATGATGATGCAGATAAAATTCCATAATTTTACTTCCAAATTTTTGTCACTAACAGATGGTCCGTCCAGCTGCAACTCAGGCCTTGTCCCTATCGAACAGGACTGTTTCAACCTGATCGGCAAGGACTCCTCTCTTGCCTCAACACCACAGACCCCATTTATCTCTCAAACAAGCATGGCAACTGACCCTTTTCATACACATCTCGGCCCACTCCACCAAGTCCACCAACCCCATTCAGGTCGTCTGGTGTCGCCCGACCACCCTTCAAGACCATCATGAGAGGCCACCCTTCAGGCCAATAATTGGAGCCAGCTTCCAGGTTTCGGCAAACAGAAATCTCTAGTAATGGGTCAGCGAATTGAATGTCTGAGAGAGATTGCCAAACAATGCAGACGCAGCAGAATTGGTCATCACCAGCGCCAAACCACAGTACACGAGAGCAATGAGGGCGTGTGAATATGCGTTAATTATCTAGACGCCTGGAAACAAAAAGATTCAACTCACACGAAACTTCTTCGGGTGACTAACGAGCAGGCACTGTTGTACTTACGTATTCCCCGTGCTTTGCTTCTTTCCCCTAACTCTTGTACAAATGCAAAACAAAATTAATTCATATTTATACAAATTCAAAGGCTTTTTCATTTAAGTGATATTAGGGATACATTTGAGCTTGCCGATTGAGGGGTAAAGGTTCTTTCAGGATTCTAATAACAAAACTATCACCATGCGAAATACCTTTGAATAGTGTCATCCGCTTAATAAGCAATGCTGATGATGTCAAAAGTTCGAAGCGTAAATAAAACTGAGCCAAAGATTTTTCTGGGATCATACTAAAGGATGGGGGATCAGGATATGTCTAAGAAACTCAATAGGTACTTTAGATATACCGGAATTAGGTCGGCCTGCTAGTTTGTTTATAATCAAATGGTTTAATAAACGGATTAAAGCTCATCATCGGTTGAGAGGTTCTAAAAAATCTGATGCTGTGAACAGATGGTATGGCTGTCAGGTAGGCAAGATGACCATCTTGAAAGCCCTGTTTTTGAAATTCAATTCGAAAAACGACACTTTATTAAATTTGTTCCCATCTTTACGATTTCAATAGTTTAGGGCGCCTAAGTGGGCTGATGGGAATGTTGTTGATAAGAATAAAGTTGATATTAATATAACTATAGAAGAGGATGCGTATTTTAAAATAATAATAATAATAATAAGAAGAAGAATTTAACTTATTAATTCATTAATGAAACAATACATTTAGCTATTTCTAATTAATATTTAATAATTCATTTTTCCTTAAATGTTCATTTCTAAGGCAAATTTGGTCGTAAGGGATTCGTAAATTAACCTCATCAGGAATCGTAAAAGAATTGCTTTTCAGCTGTGACTATTGAACTGGGTAAAGAGGTCCTTAGTTTGCACTCCTGTGAATCTGATGAAACCTTGCCGAGTTTTCGTCCATCTCGTCATGACAGGATTCGTCAATGTGAAGTCCTGAAGCAACACTTATTGCTTGTATCAAATGTTGCGATCTTAATGAGGCTTCCCATAATTAAGTAG